TGAGTATGAATAATCAATCGGCGATAGTACAAGCGAACCCATCTTCACATTGAACCAAATCTATACATTCACATCAGTCAAACCGATGGTGTTACCAAGATATGCAGAAGCCTTCAGAACAAGGTAAGAAAAGGTAAACAATTTGAAGCAGTAACTTTCCATGTACGGAAGAACTTCAAATATTCATTTTTTGATCGGATTAGATGTTACATCTCTTTTGACGTGACAACGTCTTAAATTAGGTTGCGGCTGGGAGTCACTTATGAAAAAGTGTAACGCCCGGTAACGTTACGATGAGTCACCGAACGAGAGTGCTGCGCGCGCAGCTGCGCGCGCAGCGCTAGAGAATTAGGCGCATTGAATCGGCGCATGCTTGTCTCTGTCTTTGTCTTTCTCGAACGTTCTTGGCGGTGGAAAAACAAGAAAGCGTCATAATACAAGTTCACACGTGTGGTTAAAGTATCGTCAGCTGTGTCTGTAGTGAAAATGTGGAGTGCTTAGATTCGTCATTTACAACAACTACAACAATAAAGGTAAATAATTGTACACTGATATTTCATTATCGTAAACTATGATTGATTGATTAATTGTTAGATTGACACAAAAGTTGAGAAACTGAGTTTATAGGTTATGTCATACTATTGATAAATGTTGATAGTGTTAAGTAAATTATTAGTTTAAAATTAATTAATTAATTAATTATTATTTTACAAATTTTATATATTTTTTTTAATATATATTTTTGGTTTTCAAACATGGCCGAGATGGAAACGACTCACAGACTACTCGAGATATTCGCAATGAATACTTACGACTTCGTGGACACACTCTAGACACAATTACCAAACAAGCCGTAAAATTCTGTGACGACGCAACCGACGCTGGACAACTTATTGTAACGAACATCAACTGTCAAAGTTTAAGTGCCCATGCCGCGGACATTGACACAGATACAGTGATACCACGATCAGACTATTTAGTATTGACTGAAACGTGGATGCGCGACACTTGTGAACCAACTCCAATCAAGGGTTATGAGTGCGTATCCAGGGAAAATAATCGACCTAACTCAGATACCAACGCGGCTGGTGGAGTGGCGATCTATCGTAAATTATCATCGACATCTACGGCGGAAGTGTTCCAAGTTGCGATTACAGACGTAACTCGTGTCATTAAAACCAAGGGTGACATGTGCATGACTGAAGTTACTTGCTTCGTCGCTAATACTAGCTTCAAGTTTATACTCGGTGCTGTATATATTCATCCAGGAGCTAGTATGCAGGATATTGGAATGTTACTATGGCAAGGACTCGGTCCGTACATTCACAACAGCCAGTACGTGCCACCGTTCGTGCAAATTGATTCTAGTATACCGATTCTTCTGTGTGGTGATTTTAACAAAAACGTAAAGCCTGACAACTCGTTTCTTAATTTCATGAAAAATACGTATAATATTGATTGCGTATCAAACGTTTCTAAGTCAACTACGTTAAAAGGAACAACTATCGACTTGACTTTCGCAAGACACATTACAGCAGAAACACTTCCTTTCATTTCATATTTCTCCTATCATCGTCCTATCCTCAACAAAATCACTCAAATAGGAATTAGTTAAGTTTAAGTCTACATGTACAATGTTTTAGTAAACAAAATATATTTCTATAGTTAAAATTTGTGCAATTCTTATTTTCATTCAATTCCTTGTTCCTATTGTGCAATTTAATTATATTCATATCAATAAATATTCTACCGTTGTCACGTAAAATCTTCGCCCGTAAAACCGACTTTACAGGCAACCATTGTTTTTGTATCTGTATGTGTGGTCAAATATCATTTCTAGATTATAAAATGTTAGATATATGTGTTTGATATATTATAGTATAAATATTATATATTACTAGCGGACGTACTAGGCTTCGCCCGAGGTTTAACCCGAGTAAAGGTTTGTCTAGCGAACATTTGTTAAAACAATTCTCTAAAAACTTATAAAAAAAAAAGAAGATATATTTTGATAATTTGAAACTCGTAAATTTGAATCTCTCGATAAAGTGAACATTTTTTATTTTTATAATCGGTGTGAAGGACAAAACGATCTACACAAAATTCGATGGATTACAAAATCCAATCTCAATAAGTGGGACTTTCCTTCAATTTCTACTGACGGAGGGATTCTTGCCACCGTGGATGTCACTCTTTTAAACGTCACACTCCACACTGTACACGTTCAACCTGGTCTACATCACCTTGTAGGCAATGCCGGGCTCCCCTGACACCGTCTTGCAGGATGATCGAGAAACCGAAGACAACTCTCCGCTTCTTCCAGCACCGCCGATTTCAGACATCTTCCACACAGGAATCCATCTGGGTGCGCTATCTCGTCTTCAGGCTAACCGCTCTAACGGCCTCTTCTCACACGACTCCCCGTGGACTGTCCTTCCATCCTGACCAACTGGCTTCAGTCTATCTTCACTTTCTTGAGGGGGCTGAATACTTGCTTCTTTACTGGTTTGCCCACATCTCTTGGCTCTCTTATTCAAAGTTTAATCCCAATCAACGCTTCACTGCCGTTTTTCCATAATGTAGTTTACTGCTCTGTTTCAATATAAAATCTTTAAAATATTAAGATGACCAAATAAGAAAGTTCACCAGAGAATCAGAGTAAAAACATAATGACAAAATTAATAAATGATTTAAATCCAGACGACAATAAATAATTGGATAATATTGTCACAACAGAGTTTCCTGGTATTCCCTATTATCTGGACTGGACCGACCGGTCGAGGATAACAGTGGCGCCACATGGAAGGGGGAAAACTCAGTTCTCACCTCTTGTTGTAATGCCTGAGTCGATTTGGCTCATGTACACAGTAACTTTTATTTTATATTTAAAATATTTCACGTAACTAACTAAATAAATGAATGGGGGGTCGGTGGAAGGATGGTTTAAACCGTTGGTTTTCGACCGCTAAGACCCGGATTCGATTCCCGCATTGGGCACTTTTTTTCTGATTAAAAAAATAAAATGCTCCAGTGACACCCGATTCTTGAAAAAGTCCAACCCCACAAGCGAGTGCAAGTAACCAAACGGTGCTCTGGAACATTTTAAAGTTCAAAGTCGAACTGCTTTTCACATGTGTAGACATGTTGTGCACTTACAGTAAAAGCAGTCGCCTACTTCTATCCACCATGATTATCATGGCCTGTACCACGTGTACTAGGGACAAGCAATAAATAAATAAATATTTAAAGTGATTCATAAATATATTTAAAATTTTTTAATCGCGACAATATTGAGCAACAATCTATAAGAAATTATGAAACACAAGTGAAAAATTCGAGAACAGTTAGAATTGAAAACGAAGAAACCATGGACATATTATTTCTGTATTTGATTTTCAAAATTCTCCAGGTTTATCTACTTATATAATTGCTTTATTCTGTCTGTGTGAAGTTCACTGTGTGAAGTTCACGGATAGATTTTGGTCAGAATGGATAAAATAAAAAAGTGTCAAGGGATGGGAATCGAGCCCACGACCTTCCGCTTACCGGGCAGATGCCATGACCACTAGGCTATAGGCTCATTATTTCTTTATACCGTTATTATACCGTTATATTATATATAATTAAAACATTTTAAAAACACACAGTTTGGAACGGGACGTTTCACAAGAGTGACATCCATGGCGCCATTTTATAATTGTAACGAATAGTATTTGAATTAAAACGTTTTTAAAATATATACGCACTCGGGTAAAACCTGGGCGTTGCCCGGGCCATTCGTCTAGTACAATATAAACAACAATAAGATCGAATATTACGATACATCAGCGCGCCATCTCTTATGAAAATTCGGAACTATTATAGACGCGTATGATTCTTTTAAAAATTAAACAATTTCTACTGCCCTTAATGTAATGGAAAAATTAATGGGAAGGCCTGGCTCATTAGTGTGAACCCTTCCAGCGGTTTCGCCAGTTTAATCTACTATTGAATCTCCACAAATACATATATTATCGCTATAACATAAATTATTTATTGCCTGTTTTGGATAGAACACTACCCAGACAAATGGAAAACTTCAGCTCTAAGGATAAGACCTAAATCTCATAAAAACAATTTCGAAACGTCAAAAATTATAACTCTTAACCGTTGATTTGAAACTTTTCAAAAAATATTTTAAATAATATAAAAATGAAATAATAATATTTTATAACAATAATCTTCATTTAGTTCTTAAAATTAAATATACTTCGGCCAGTGAATCTTTTTATTATCTCATCGTTTCGACAAAAATATTTGTCCTCATCAGGAGCAAATAAAAAATAAAGCATTGGGCGTTAAAAATTATTCTGAGATTTAAATTATTTTCTCCAAACGATGACAAACGTTTTTTGTCGAAACGTCGAGATAATAAAAAGATTTACTGGCCGAAGTATCTTTAATTTTAAGAACTATGAATGCCGGCCAGGCAACCTCTATCTTTACGATAATCTTATTTTGAGCCTTATAGACAACATGATTTATTAAAACCAATAAATATAGCCCTGGATAAAATCACAGATTTCATGATAGAGTATAAACAGAAAGAGCTATGGCTCTAATAGCAATAGATATAGAAGGTGACAATACATGGCGGCCATCTTTAATCACAATTCAGACGAAGATAACATACCTGCCGTATTGAATAGAATTTTACAATCATATCATCGGTTGTTTGCCTTCTTTGGTCTTTCTCTGCGAGACCGCTTATTTTCTCGTGGATCACCGACACTGCTTCGTTACTTCACCTCTGCAGGCAGCCCAAAACCCCTCTACTACTCAGTCAGATCTCCTCTCCCTCTGGCAGTATCTCTACCACTGGTGGGGGGACACGATAGACTTACCAGAAGCTAATTTGAAGGCGAATAGGAAGTAAAAACAGCAGAAGTAACATGGAACAATTTACGGGGCTGCTAACTAGAATGAATGATTTTTGAGCACCCTTGGACGCATAAAAAAGTAGGGGGCACGCGGAGTTGAACCACGGACCTCTGCAGTCGAATGCTCTACCACTGAGCTATACCCCCATGAAACCGGGAATAAGTCTACTTGCCAACTTATATTGTAAACCTTCATCCACATTACCCTAGAACTCGAATAACAATTAACAAGTATTTACAGTAAATATATATATTATATATATATCGTACAGCCAATATAAAAAGGTATCACAAGCCCCAGGAAACACAGCAGTAGGTCATCCCTACTCCAGTCCCAGACTGGATATAGGCGTCATCTATTGGCGGAGGTTGTAACTATTCATCTCGCAACACTATACTTGGAAATAGAAAAAATAACTTTCACATATACTGGAATAGAAGTTTCTAATTCATTATCGAAAGGATGTCCTCAGGGATGTCATTTGTCTGACTTTTATGGTTGATATTACTGAATGATCTGCTAACCGGAATTGAATTGGAAGAAGCAATATACACTAAAATTTATATTGTTGGACCATGGATAATGCACCTATTTTAATTTGCAATATTATTTTTCATATACGTGTATTTTATATTGATATTTTATATTTATTAATAAACAGAATATGTATTATAAATAGATTATGTATTGTAAAATTACTATTCGTATTTTGGCAGACTGTGTAACTTCACAACTCGTTAAACTTTGATGTGGAAAAATAAATAATTTATTCTGGAGGCTACTTAGAGTTATCTCAATCATAAAGATAGAGGCTGCCTGGCCGGCATTTATATTTCTTGAAAATAAAGATACTTCGGCCAGTAAATATTTTTATTACCTCGACGTTTTGACAAAAATCTTTTGTCCTCGTCAGGAGCAAACAAAATTAATCTCCTTAAAAGAATAATTTTTAACGCCTTACCAAATGTTTTAATTTTTGTTTGCTCCTGACGAGGACAAAAGATTTTTGTCGAAACGTCGAGGTAATAAAAAGATTTAATGGCTGAAGTATCTTTATTTTCAAGAAATAGAGTTATCTCATTATTCACTTATCTAACCTTGTAGGATGTTTGAAACACGTTCTGGAAAGATGCAAGATATGTCTGAGGAGAGAATCAAGGCTGAAGATTCTGTCAAACGGCAATCTGGCGCCATACACACAACACTATATACATTTTTACATATATGTTTTAAAAAAAATAAAATATATAAACTTTATCGAATAAAATGTTCAACTATTTATATACAAGTAGAATTAAATATAATTTATATGAAAGATAGTTGCATTAGAGAAGAGTAATGATAATTAAAATTAGAAAAATATTACTTTTAAGGTATTAAAAAGCTTTTTATTTTATTTTAAGTAACAACATAGGGTTATAACAAGTTCACGCGGTAGTCTCAGCAGTTACGCGTCATTCAAGCAGAACATAGAGGGGGAAAGGAAGAATTGAAGGTATAAGAATAAGAAAAAGAGCAAAGACAGAGCCATGTTATATTTTTATTATATATATATATATATATATATATATATATATATATATATATATATATATATATATATATATATATATATATATATATATATATATAAAAGGCATATATTGGATCAAAATATTATTCATTTTATCAATATATGCTTATTAATTAAAGATCTATTTATGAAAATTGCTCTATTTTCAAATAAATATAGAACGATATTATTTACCACAAAAGCTCTAGGGAGGCCCCAAAAATCGGTAAAAAAGAAGCAAAGCTTGTATAGACAACAAAGGACCATTCTGAGATAATCAGTTTTTCCAATGTATCGATTCTATGTCAGGATTTGTGACAGCTCGGCTGTATCATAATTGAAATCAGTGGGAAAAAGGTAATTAACAACGCTAATTGACTGTCTCTGTAATCCCCTTTGTTGGAGATAACTGCTGGTCAACTTGGGTGATTGGCAGTTCCTTTTTTATCAAGGGAGCTCAGAGTGTTACATCACTGATATTCAGTAGCATTAGGACTAGAAACCGTTTTATTTTGAATGCTTTTAAGTTAAAGAAAAATTCGAAAATAAATAAAACTAATAATTATCGATTGACTGTAACTCTATTAATATATTTCTTTAAAATACAGACACTTCGAACTGTTGAAGTTTTATTTTTCTTAACGTTTCAACAAAAATCGTTTGTCTTCGTCAGGAGAAATAAATAAAAAATAAACAATTTTAAATGCCCTGCCACACAACAAATGCTTTATTTTTATTCATTTCTCCTGACGAAGACAAAATATTTTTGTTGAAACGTTGAGAAAAAATAAAACTTTAACTGGCCGAAGTGTCTATTTGTCAAAGAACTATGAATTCCCCCCGGCAAGGCAACCTCTCTCTATAAATATATGCATGCATATAGCAATTGACGATTTCCTTGATTTAAAAATAGAAGAAGTTGAAGACATTGTAATAAAATATTCAATAATGAACTTATTTGATTCAGAGATTAATGTAAGATTTTCATTATTTTCTGTTATCTCATTATCATGAACACTCTTGTGACGAAAATCATCATTAATATTTAAAAACATTATTACCATTATATTCTTATTTATGTGACCTTATTTATATTAATAATTATAATATTAGTGACTTTCAAAATTATTTTCTTATCATAATGTCACACAAAAATAATTGAATATTCCCAATATAAAAGTTTAAAGAGGAGAGAGAAAGATATGTAATTTTTAATTCTAAAAATTGTTTCCTGCGTTCTACGTTTCATATTCTACGTTTTTCTTGAAAAAAAAAAAGATTGTAATGTCATATATTTATCATGAATTCGAAATTGGGTTTTATATATTTTTGGTGTTTAACCTATAATCGGAATAACTTCAATAATACGTGATGTTCTACCTATTTGCATACGACATTCTTCAAAGTTGTAAATATATCTTGTAATTTCTGATTTGAACTTGGAATTTGAGAATTTGTGCATATTTTGAAAATATTTATTATTTGTTTGGAATGATTATAACTTTCAAGCGTATTCTAAACTATCTCGTTATTTTAATTTGAAATTATAAATATATATGAAAATATAAAAGGGGGCGAATATAACCATCAATGTTGTGAATTTAAGAAGGGTTTGGACGATGTTTGACGACACGGTGACATTCGCACTTGTCTTATTGTATTAAAAATGATTAAATATTCTTCTTGTGTCTGACGTATCATTGTTTGTAAGTGAAGCTTCCTATCATTTAAAATTATAAAAGATGAGCTTAATCTCTACCAATCATCAAGTATATCTTGAACGTTAGCAATTATCAGCAATATATTTAAGTATAAAGCATCGATGAATATATAAGAAAATAAAATATTTATTAGAAAATGTACATATATTTCCAATAATTAACACTTTCAGATATGAAATCAACATTATTTATATCTTGAATATAGAGGTTGCCTAGCCTGCATTCATATTTCTTTTTAAAAAAGACACTTCGGCCAGTTAAAGTTTTATTTTCTTAACGTTTCAACAAATTTCTTTTGTTTCGTCAAGAGAAATAAAAATAAATCATTTGGCAAGGCGTTAAAATTATTCTAATAATAGAATAAATCAATAGAAATGTTTAAACGCCTTGCCAAATGCTTTATTTTTATTTCTCCTGACGAAAACAAAATATTTTTGTTGAAACGTTGATAAAATAAAACTTTAACTGGACTAAATGTCTAATTTTTTAAAAGAATTATTCATATATCGATAAAAATTTCAAAATATTCAACTTTTTATTGTTCAGTTGTCTTTTTATAAAATATCTTTGTCAAATAATAATAAATAATTTATAGATTTAATTGCCATCTATCGTTAATATTTTACACAAATAAATTTACTGGAAATGCGTGTCTTTTAAATATCATCAAAATATGAATTTTGTGTATATGTATTACTTTTTATAGCAAAAAAAGTGCTCTCTTTCAATCAATCAATCAATATTCAATAAGGTAATATATAACTTTTCAATCTCTTCTCAAAAATATTATAAATAGCCTTAGAAAATATTATAAATCAATGTGTAATAGACACTCACATTGTAAAAAATGAAGACCATAATAAGAATACATTAGAAGGAGTAATGTGTATAAAATGCAAATTTAAAATGCTCAATAAATTCACAACTTTCGAGTTATAAATTTCAGAAATTGGCAAAGTTATGATCATCCCATTAATAAACTCCCCTTCCCAAAAAATATATCATTAAAAGATAGCACTAAATGGATATAAAAAGAATAAAATTTAAAATCTAAAAACTGTGATAAAAATTAAACTGCTGATTAAAAAAAAAGCCTTCAGTGCTAATGATTTCCTTTTAAAAGTTCACAGAGAGAAAAATTTAAAAAGTAATTTTCACAGGTTTCTTTATAATTAAAGAAATTCCTGTTAATTAGTCAATTTAAAGCTATATTTGTTTAACAATGGTGCCTTTATATTTTCCCAGCCGATGGTTTTAATTAATTAATATTCATTGAAGCCAGGGTTTCCGGGTGGTTGTTTTTACAAAAGGTGCTCGCCTCAAAATCTGAACTGTGCTAATGAATTGTTCTCTAACGCCATCAGTAATAAATTGGTTGGGTGAGATGACAGGTCTATATATCAAATCAATTCCATCTAATTTATTTCCTTTTCTTCCGAATATTTTAAAAACGTTTTAAAACTATATATGTTACACAAAGTTTTGTTCCAAAATAATTTTAAATTATACAATAATATATATTATTTCTAGTTAACTATATATATATATATATATATATATATATATATATATATATATATATATATATATATATATATATATTTATATATTTATATATCGCTTGCATGAAAATATACGTCAATATGATTTCTTTTTATTAAATTTTGTAAAAATTGATTTTGTTGTCGTTAATAATATTATCTACCCGTTGAAGTGCAAAATTTACTCGAAAACTTGAAAATTTCAAAATAAAAAAGAAATTCTTTGCTGAAGATATAATTTCCTTGTTTCAGATAATTTCTGGATAACTTACATTATAAATATGCCAAATATATTATTTATTTCAAGAGTATTGTATTTTTATTAAATATAG